CGCGTGTAGCCGCGCGGCACGGGGTTCGAACTGCCGGCATTTAAAAATGGCGCCGGCCGGCTTCATTGGAAATTCAAATCCCGGGCTTCATTTGCAAGTGCGGTATGCCTACATTACCCTCCTAGTTCGAATTAGGAGGGTAGTGTAGACATACCGCCAGACACCCACCCTAGCCCTAGCTTTGCTGCGTGCTCACGGCATGCCCTGTGGCAGAACCCGCTCCCTGCCTCAGTTTCCCCAGCAGCCAGCTCAGCTTCCTTTGCAAGGCAGTGGGGGAATCTCAGCACGAAGCGGTCGGCACCAGGGACAGAACCCAGGGTCCCTGGGCTGGTCTCTAGCCTCTGGGCGACACCACCCTGCGTTTGGGGGCATCGGGAGGAAACAAAACCAGATGTTCAAGGGCTAAATTTGGCTTCCCCCCAGAGCCCAGAGTGGGCTGCTGAGATCACTGGGCCAAGCGGGGGGCTGACTGGAGAATTGATTGATTGATTGACAGCTTAAGAACATAAGAACAGCCGTACTGGGTCAGACCAAAGGTCCATCTAGCCCAGTATCCTGTCTACCGACAGTGGCCAACACCAGGTGCCCCAGAGAGGGTGGACCGAAGACAATGATCAAGCGATTTGTCTCCTGCCATCCCTCTCCAGCCTCTGACAAACAGAGGCCAAGGACACCATTTTATCCCCTGGCTAATAGCCTTTTATGGACCTAACCTCCATGAATTTATCCAGCTTCTCTTTAAACTCTATTATAGTCCTAGCCTTCACAGCCTCCTCTGGCAAGGAGTTCCACAGGTTGACTACACACTGTGTGAAGAAGAACTTTCTTTTATTAGTTTTAAACCTGCTACCCATTAATTTCATTTGGTGTCCTCTAGTTCTTCTATTATGGGAACTAATAAATCACTTTTCTTTATCTGCCCTCTCCACACCACTCATGATTTTATAGACCTCTATCTTGCGCAGAACTCAAGGATTTCGGGCCCAAGAGGGTGACCGAGGCAGGGTGATGGTGGACGCACAGACAGGTGGATGGATGACAGATGGATTCACTGCTCACATCTGGAAAACCACCGCTCTCCAGCGCTAGCTGTAGAAATCACATTTCACAACACCTGGCCCTGGGGCAAAACCTGCCAGGCTCCCTGTCGTGGGGCCCAGTGGATCTTTTAACCCACCCCCCAGGATTTGGGGAGGCTTGAGCCAAACCCAACAGGGTTAAGGGTGCAGGGGTGGGGCGGGAATTGGCATGGAGGTTTGGTGGGACAGTTCCTGCATATTAACACCCAAGAACAAGACCTACCTCCATGCCCTTTCTCCACCATCTCCTCCGGGCCCTCATCTCCCTGCCTTCCCCCCATTCGGCTGTCACCCTCTGCCCCCCAGATCCGAGTCCCAGCCACACCAGACGCTTTCCTGTGAGTGGGGCCTTCTTCAGCTCCAGCCCCGCCCCAAACTGGCCCCACTGTGGGGGTGCGACATCCCGTTCCCCCTCCACAATAAGAGGAACAGCACCCCTCCCCTGGCTCGCCCCATCCCCCGCATACTCAGCAGGATTACGGGGAGGATTACGGCTGCTCACC